AGAACTATATTAAATGTTGTTCACTTACATAGCATAGCATTATAATTTTTATCAACAAATTTAGGTTTTTAAAGACTTATAAAATTTTTTGTAATTACAATAAAATTTTATTTTACATAATATCAGATTAAAATATTATTATATTATTTTTATTTAAGCATAAATGAGGTTACAATAACAAACGAAAAGTATAAAAAGGATAGATTCTCATTTCATTATTTATTTTTTAATAGATTTTATTTCAGTAATTTCTATAAAATGTTACATCAAATCAGAAATTTATGATATGAAAATTTTAAACTAAAGAATTAGCTGTGCAGACTGTTCAGATAGTGCCATATGCATTGATCTAATCCATATATTCAAACGTTTGACCACATTCATGAATCTGCATAGCTTTTTTTTTATTTACTTGATGGTTTTTTTGTTGTTGTTGTTGTTGTTAAGTGTCTGGAGACTAAATTTTATTGACATTTTAGATGTTAGAGTCACAGGGACCCTATTAAAAATTGTATTTACAATAATAAATTTAATCTAACCAGTCATACCCGACATATTAAGAAACCCTAGTATAGTAATAGATAATGTATATGGATCATGCTGAAATAAATAACTTAACCAGATTGGCATAAAAATCATTTGGTTAATTTTTATCAGATGTTCCAGGAATTATGAAAGTAGCAGTAATTAATATGCATGTAGATTTTATTTTGCACTTGTATGGTATCTTCATATAGATTACAGTATTTTAAAAATTTTGAATAGAGATATTTCAACATTTATATTAGAAAATTTTTTAGCACAAATTTGCAAAATTTTTTATTATTAGTTATATAAAAAATTTACAATTTGTGCAAATCTTCAAACCTGGTGGCTTTTTCACAGAAAATAAATACAAATTTGCATAAATTGTTTTTTAAAACTTTTTGCAAAAATTTTTTCTGATACTATAAAAATCTGTGTTTTACAGAATAATTACAGATCCAGATAGAAAAAAATTTCCTAATGTATCTGATTAAATCTGATAAACTTTTTTATTTAAAATTTATGAATTAATAAAATTCAAATATAAAAAAAATTCATCCAATTTTATCAGGTGTTTGTCAAAGTTATAAAAAATTTTGTTGTAGCTTATAGTTTAATAAATATTGTATTTAAACTTTATTAAAGATATCTTAACAATATCTTAATTTTTTTTATTTGAAATTAAAGAATGCTTAACATTTATTAAAAGATAGCTTTTTTGTATTTTTCAAGAAAATTTAACACTCTTTTGTGCAAGTATTAACTATTAATAGATATAATAAAACTTATATATATAAATAGTAATATTAGATTATTTTCTGTAATATTAATTTAGATAGTACATGTTTATTATCATTAGTTTTAAAAGGTATATTTCAAAGACTATTCTATCTTTAAAACAAGGAACTCACTAAAATATCAGTACAATAATTATGCACTATTGCAGTTTACAAGAAGAAATAAAAATAAGTTTCTATAGTTATTTTTTTTAAGTATTCGAGAACTTTATTTGATAAATGTGTGATGCAGTAAAACCAACAAGAGGATATATTTTAAAGTTTAAGAATCTTTTCAAGATATTTTCATATTGAAATTCTTTTCAACAATACAATTATAAAGTTAGGTTTAAAAAGGTTTATACATGATTTTAAAATAAATATAATATTGATATAAAATTTTTACACACTACACATATAATATCAGGTATAATGTATATACATGGTTAAATATCAAACAGGACACCTTTTATTAAAAGGGCCCATTTTGATAAATTTTTTCAAAAATTTTTTATTGATTTTAGAATAAATATACATCAATAAAAGTTTACTACTATGGCCAAAATATCATATTTCTAAATCACAGATGCTTCACATTCCAATAAACATTCTCTCAGTATTTTGATTCTTGAAGTTGCTCTTGAACAAAATAAATCTCATAACTTGCTATTTCTTAATGGTCATTGTATACCATCACAATTTGATATGACAAATAGTATTTATTTTAGTGAATTTGATGATTATTTATTATGATTCGAAAAAAATTTATATTTATCAAATAGATGTTCTCTTAAAAGGATATTATGAAACTTTTAAAGAAAATATATTAATACTTGTTACAACTTCAAATTCTTTTTTAATAATATCTTTTTTTTTTTTTTTTTGGTATTAAGGTAAGGTCTTGCTCATATCTTTATTAATTAATTTATATAAGTAATTACATATCAACTATATAAAGACTTAATTTGTATAATAACAAATAAATATAAATTATATGCAAGAATAAAAGCTCAGACTAAAAGCTTAACCTAAAAGCTAAACTAATTATCTGCAACCTAAACCTACTAGAGTGGTCAAGACTTATATAGGTTTGAATTGTTAAGATTTGGTTAATAGGTGTATTATATTTGATCCACATAGTAGACCATGTATTGATTTTAAGAGTAGCTTGTCCTAGCAGAGGACAGGTATTAGTTTTGGAATGTAGTTGGTCAGCAGAGCCACAAGGATAGCTGTAAGTGTAATTAGTTTTGTTTCTTCTATTGATTGAGCATAGAGAGGATTGTGGTAAAGTATTATAGTTGGAATAGGAAGGAATTTGGTGAGATTTTTTCCAGTTAGAAAAGTTGGTACAGTATGGAATTCAGATATTGCTATAAAGTTGATTGGAGATTTTGAGAAGTAGCTGAATAATAAGTTGAAAAGCATTAGAATATGAGATTTTGAATAGGTCTAGAGATTGGATTAAGGGTATGGGTATAAGGTCTTTAAGTGTAGAATTGAGAAAGAAAGGATATAGTTGGGATGGTTGGAGATTGAAGGCAGGATATGAAGAGATAGTATATATGAGGTTGTTAAGTTGATAAGAAGAGAGATTGAGGTTGGCGTTAGTAAAGGTATCATGTATTAATGTGTTGATAATTTGGATTAAAGAAGTGTGGTTGGAACAAGTGTACCAATAAGAAAAAGATTTTAAATTATTGCAGGAATAGCAGTTAGGTGATGTAAAAATATGAGAATAAATATTATAAAAATATGCATGTGTAGATAATATATTAAGTAATATTTTGATTTTAAAAGATTCTAGATAGTTTAATTTAGAATTGGTAAAGTTATAAGAAGTTTTTTGATTATTGTTAAAATATAATCAGAAGACATTCCAGTCGATTTGGTGAGAAAAGTGTGACCATTCTTGGGTACTGTTTTGTGAGAACCATAAAGCTATATTGTATGCATTGTATATTTTTTTAATGAAGTGTTTAGAGGGACTATTGATAAAGTTGTCTTTCCAAGATAAAATACCATAGGGGTTGTAAGAATTAGTATAGTTAAAAGATAACATTGGGAAAGTGGAATGATTATTAGCAAGTAAATCTGCAAGATTATTGAAAGTGTCATCATAATGGGCTTGGACTTTATAAAAGGACAATTGGATATTAAAGGCTTTTAAGATATTGAGAAGTGTATGCCAGATAGACCAAGAGTTAAATTTAAAGTATTTGGTAGAATGAGAAGATATAGTAAGAAGTTTTTCATATTTGGATATAATTGACTATGAATTGGTATAGATTTGCAAGCTGGTATTATGTGGAATTGTAGTAACAGATAATATTGCTAGTAGTTTAGCTTTATAAGAGGAAGGCCAATTAGAAATTTGGGCTGAGAAATTCTGTATAACTAGATTGTTGTGAATTTTGACCCAGCCGATACCCATGGAGCATTGGTCGATACCAAGTTGTTTAACAGATCTATCTGTATAGAAAGTGAATTGATGTTGCGATGAGTTGGCTAATGCAATTTGGGTAAGTTTAAGAGAGGCTTCATTGTTATAGAAGATGCTAGGTATAGGAGAGTCGATAATATTAATTGAAGGTGGTGGTGGTATTTCCAGAGAATATTTAATATTAGTAGAGTAGATAAGATCAATATAGTTTGCATTAAGATTGAGTTGTTTGTTGGTTTTTTTTTTCTCCAGAAACTGGGTAGAAAGAATAGCAGATACTTCTAGAGTACAGTAGCTGGAAATACAGTTAGAGTTGAGATTGCAGCCTTGACAAGGTTTGCAAGAAATAGGAGGTAGTGGATAGTGGTTGGATAT